ATATTTATGATTTAATATGCTTCTGTCAATGCTCCATTAAATTGGTTGCACCTCAAATCCAACTTGTATTTAATGAGATCTGAAATTCTTTTTTTATATTCTCCTTCAGATTTTAAAGGAAAAATCGGAATTTTACATTACAATAGAGCTTCTTAATGTATTTTCTGTAGGAACTCTGGTGGGTTTTGAGGTTACAAAAGCACTTACTATGCCCAGCCAACTATTAGACCCAGCCAACAGGAACTACTACTATCCTCTCCTGAGATAAACCTCTAACAACAATGAAGCTGTCTCTAGTGTGACATTCTAAGTGGACACAGATTTAACAACTTACAAAGACAGCAATTTATGATTATCTTATAATTCTGGAAGTCAGAAATCCAAAAGTGTTTTGGGGTCTCCTAAGACCAAAGTCACAGTATTGGCTGGACTAGGTATTTATGGAGATTCTGAGGAAGAATCTATGTCTAAGCTCACTCAGATTGTTGGCAGAATTCAGTTTACTATGGTGGTGAAGCTGAAGGTCTCAATCCTTTAGACTTTCATCCAGGCACCTGTCGCAGCTTCTTAAAGCCACTTGCATCCCTCTCCACCTGACCCTCTCTCTTCAAGCCAGCAACAGTAAAGTTCGTCTTGTGTTTAATGGAAAATGTAATTATTTGGGACCCACTAACAAAATCCAAAATATTATCCCTTACTTTAAGGTCAGCAGTGCTGTATAGCTTAACGTGATAAGCTTTCTGTATTTGCAGGTCTTTGAGATCAAGACAGACATTTATGTGTTGTATTGGTTTATTAGGAATGCTATAATCAGCAAGCATCTAGTGTCTTACAATCCTGAAGGCTGGGAGGTTGAGGTCAAGATATCCAAAAAGTTCATTTCTTTCAAGTTCTCTCTCTCTCTCTCTCTCTCTCTCTCTCTCTCTCTCTCTTTCTCCCTCTGGCTTATAGTTGGCTATCTTTTCTGTGTGGCTATATGTTTCCTTCCTATTTTATCTGCCTTTGCCCAAATTTCATTTTATAAGGCCATGAGTATCCTGGATTAGGGCTCACTCTAGTGATCTCGTCTGGTCTTCTTTAAAGGACCTAGTCTACAGTCTGACTTGATCTTTTGATGATCCCACAGGTTGATGTACACAATGCTTGGTCCCAAGGATGGTAGTATTTGGAGGAGGTGGAACCTCTGAGATGGGGCCTGCTGGGAGATGTCAGGTCACTGGAGTTACACCACTCAAGGAAGGAGGTAATGGCATCTTGCCCCTTTCTTGCTCTTTTTGATCCCTGGTTCACAGGGTAAGTGTTTTTTCTCTGCCACATATTCTTGCAACAATTTACTGCCTTGCCACAACCCAAAGCTGGGACGGGGGGGATAATGGTCATGGACTGAAACCTCAGAAACTGTAATCCAAAAATAAACGGGTTCCCTTTATAAGTTAGTTCTATCAGATATTTTGCTATAATGACAGAAAGCTGACTAGCATACTCTGTTTCCAAATAAATCACATTTTGGGATACAGGGGATAGGACATTAGCATATGAATTTGAGGAGGCTATAATTCAGCCTATAAAAGGGATCTGCTTTTAAAAGTCTGACACTACAAGAGTTCCAGGCTTAAATCTGGCCTCACAGGTTGTTATCATGGTGTATTTGTCAATGGAGTAGACATCACATATGTAGTAATTCACTGTTTGATGCATTAGATATAAACTGTATAGGCTTGCAATTTAATTCCTTGCCCAGCCTTAAAATTAGGTGGATAGTTCTGGACAGAGAGGTAAGGAGTATATTAAAAACTGAATACAGAGCAAAGATCCCTTTTCAATGCTATGCAGCTGCAGTAGTGGCAGATACTTTAGCAACTACAAGGTATTCTATTAATACAGCTAAGTCTGATGCTTAGGGAATACAGTCTATAGTCCTGGCCTCTCCTTGCTCAGCCTGTATTTGGTCATTCAAATATTCTTGCTCCAGTCTCCATCCCTAAGGATAAAACCTTTGGATTTAGAGAGCATTTGACTTTTGTTGCTTATACACGGATTTTGACATCTATGATGCTGACTAGGGATTCTTAGTGTACAAACATTCTTCAGGTAAACAGAGAAGATTCCTTAAGATTTACAGAGCATATTCAAATAAATCATCTGAGAAAGTTGCTGACAAGAGAATGATTTTGTCCTTCCTTACAGAAATGCAATAGAAACTGATGGCAGGAAGTCTTACAAAGTGTTTTTAAGCTCCTTTGCATAAGAGTATATAAAAACTAAAATACTAATGCTGCCTTTGAGAAAGTACATATTATTTGCATGTTAGATGACCTCGGAATACATAGTTATTGAAGCACTAACTTCTTTCAGATTCAGATAAAGTGTATGATCATCATGAGTATCTGATGAAGCTATAAACCTAGTATAAGAATTCTTGACTTAGTAGCCCTGATTTTAATTGTCTACAACTATCAAAGGAACCTAAATATCAGATGTGACCTTCAGAGTCACTGGCAATGAGAACAGGCAATCTTAAACCATCCCCCATTATTGTAACTAACCCCAGGAAACTATGTTGAAGAATATTATAAAATAGTATAATAATGGAACTAAGTTTTCCATTAGTATTCTTATGCACTGCAGAGTATTTTCCTTAAATACTTTCACCATTTTTTTTGTAATTGAATTTCTCACTTTTGAAGCCAGAGTTTCTTTTATCAATACTGTTATTAGCATTTGCATTCCTATTTTTAACTTCCATTTAAAGGCATGCCTTGAAAAACATTTTGCTGAAAGCAGTTATTTGCCGTGTTTAGAGTGTTGTAGTTTGGCAAAATTGAAAAATACCTCTACTGCATTAGTCACATAAGAACAAAAATGTATTTTATCACTTTGAGTATGTCAACACACAGAGAACACAAAATCAAATAATAGAACTAAAAGGAGACATAGTCTAATGGGCTCAGCAGAGAATTAGGAGCCAAAAATATCTGAGCTCCAACCTTGGCTCCAATTGGTTCTGTGTCCTTGAGTCTTTTCTTTCTCCCTGTGGAACAGAAGTACTAAAAAGGACCACATTGTGAGAGGGATGGGGAGATGCTTGGAAGCACCACACACATTCCAATGCAGGTTAAAGCAAGATGTTCACCTTAGCTATGACTCTTTTACAGCTATTGGTTTCTGTCACAAACAACACTGTGTTCATGTGACTGTGATTATAATTGTTTTGTCTCTATACCCTGTGAATGTGAAAGCTTCCTGGACACATTTAGTCATCTGAAACCCTAAGTTAAACAGCCTTGTTTCTACAATGTACACAGTTAGGTGTTCTTCAAAGAGATGGCTAGTTTGGGGGCCAGCAGCATTCATCCTCATGCCCTGTGCTGTTGAGTTTCCAGGGGCCTTATCAGGTGGAATATATTCTCTTACACACAACCACCATCTGTGATATTTGGACAGGAAATAGCATACATGGCACCTTACTTCAAAGTAGTATAAATGTATCATATCCATGACAGAAATCATTTGGAAGAAGACTTCAGGATCACCTCATGAATAAAAGAATCATCTCATATCAGCAAAGCATTCCAAACACAACTTAAAAGCAAAAACCATGAGCTTCTTCTCTGTATTTCTAGCATCAAACTAAGTATTTTATACACAGAAAAAGCCAGGGAAATATCAGTTTCACTGACTTGAATAAGACTAATTTCTGTGCATAAATGTGCAAGCAATATTACATCCCTGGAAGTTAAAGAAAAAGTAATGGGTAGAGACTTGGACTGTTCAATTTCATATATACGGCTGCGATTCCTACCTTAGCTATTTTTGAGCTTCCCTACCACCACACATGAGTATGGACTGACCTCAGGATGAGCTCTGTCACATAGGAACCTATCTACAGATGCCATAGCTTGATGTTCATGGCAGCTTGCAAAGTGTTGTGGTCCTCACTTGTGTCTTTCCACTCTCCCCAAGAGTCTATTAGACCAAAATCACTCTCTCCTCTCTTCACATAGTGGATTTCTCAGAACTCCCTCAATCTTGCAATCTTTCTTTACCTTATATGTAAATGCTGCCAACCCTCCCCAGTCTCCTGGCTACACAGGCATGCTGTTGCCATTCTGACCATGGTCCTCTAGACAGTGTGACCTCTTCTGCTGTGGAGATTTTCTCTGCCGTCTTTATCTTTTGATAAAGCATTTTAGTATATAGCTACAGATACTGCCCTAAAAGTATCCTTTTATTTGGGTTTTGCATAACAACTCCACCATAACTCTGAAAGATAAAATATGTACGTACTTCCAAATTAAATCATGTTTAAAATTCATGAGGATCCTGGGGTTCTATATATACACTGGGACTATTAGGGAAGAGACTTCTTTCCCAGAATATTCCTTTGTTGGGCCTCCTTCCTTGTCTGTCTCACTTAAATGAGACAAAGGCAAAATGTTCCTGTCTCCCAGGAAGTTTGGTTTTACCAAATATGTAGTGGAAAGCCTCACATAACTCTTTCTTTCCAAGATATAGCGGGGAGTACAATATATGGTACTTATAACAGGAAATGAGTTTGTTTGTGGCTTAATTATTATATCCAGGCAACGAAAATATGTAGGTCCTGCAAAAAGACAGAGAAATTCCTCTACTCTAATTTACACATAGTTTGTTACAGGAAACGTTTTGAAATATAATCCATTATAAGACAGTAAGAGATGTGGCCAGATGGAATCTCATCTTGAAAGCTGGCTTGCCTGTGCCATGGATCTTGCCAAGATGTTCCCTGAATCATCACAGGACTCTGCTATTCAGAAGGCCATCACTAGGTGACCAGATGCAAAATACTCTGGTCAGTCAACTTTGGATCAGCATCATGAGCCAATAAAACCCTGCCTTATTTATCAATTATTCATTTGTGATATCATGATATTAGCAACAGAGAATTGACTAAAATATTTAATCTTCTACCAAGTCTAAGTCCCTTAGTACATGGGAGTAGAACTCTGCAGTCCTTAAGTATGCCAAATTGCAACTGTATTGGCTTTAGTGATAGTTAAGGGTAAAGAGAACAAGGCCAGACAGGTGCTTTGAGCTTACTGGGCAAAGAGGAACAGATTAAAATAGGCAAGTACTTTGCTTTGGAAAATCTTGATACAATAGACTCCAACAACGTAGTCTCCTCACAAGAGTGTTGATATTTTTCTTTCTCTTCACACTTTGGTAAATGAGTTCCTCTTTTATATCCAGGCTATAACCTAAGATAGAAATATAGCTAAGAAGCAAACAAATGGAATGGTATGTAGGCTTTTCATTGAGCATGTGTGTTTGTCAGCTTTCTATCACTATGACAAGACACCTGAGACAATTCACTTATAATGAAGAAAGGCTTATTTTGACTCACAGTTTTGGAGGTTTCAGTCCATGGTCAGATGAACTCATTGCTTTGGGGACTGTAGTGAGGCACCGTATCATGGTGTTTATCTCCTGCTCACCTCACAATGACCAGGAGAAAGACCAGCACCTCCCAGTCTCCCTTAGGACTCTGTTCCCATGGACCTGCAATTCCTCCACATCCTTGAAGGCTTCTACCATCTTCCACCAGCACCAGGATGAAGACTCACAGGGTGCTTAGCACGTGGCCCTTGAGAGGCATTCCTAACTACAGTTCATTGGTACAATTGACTGATTTAGCATTCCAAAAATGAAATTTATAAGGGATGTTGTACATGAATTTAGCATGAGAACATGTTAATAATGCTAGAGACAAAAATACATGCAACGCTACAGAAAGTGGAGCCTATAATACTCACAGGCTGTTAGGAACATGTGGACCAAGAGTGATCCAGAGTCCAAAGCAAGAAGAAATTTGAAATAACCTATATCAAAGTACCTAAAAGATCCAAAACATGAGTAAAACTAGAGATCTGAGAAAAATTAGCAAACCACATTAATTAAACAATGACATGCTACTGAAATACTGTGCAAAGCTTAGAGCATCTTATTACAGGAAACAATATCTAAGACTGGGAAAGGCACAGAAATGGCTACAAAATGATGAACGGCATTCATGTTTATAGCTGTGAAGAGCAGGTTAAAAATTAGATTTCGTTCATTATAAAGGGCACCTTAGAAGAGATAATTATTGAAACGTTGAAAACTCTGATGAGAAGAGACAGGAAGTGGCTCAGAAGCAAAAGAGGACACGAGCAGAAAGGAACAAAGGACCGCATTAAAGGGAATTCAGAAGCAATGCATTTGCAG